AGATAGATAGATAGATAGATAGATAGAAATGGTCAGATTAGATAGATAGATAGATAGATAGATATATAGATAGATTGATAGATAGAAATGGTCAGATTAGATAGATAGATAGATAGAAATTGTCAGATTAGATAGATAGATAGATAGATAGAAATGGTCAGATAGATAGATAGATAGATAGATAGATAGATAGATAGATAGATAGAAATGGTCAGATTAGATAGACAGATATGGTCAAATTAGATCGATAGATAGATAGATAGATAGATATGGTCAAATTAGATAGATAGATAGATAGATAGATAGAAATGGTCAGATTAGATAGACAGATATGGTCAAATTAGATCGATAGATAGATAGATAGATAGATATGGTCAGATTGTAACACTAATGAGTCACATGACACCGGGGAGAGAAAATGGCTACTTGGGCCCAATTTGGACATTTTCACTTAGGGGTGTACTCACTTTTGTGGCCAGCGATTTAGACATTAATGGCTGTGTGTTGAGTTATTTTGAGGGGACAGCAAATTTGCACTGTTATACAAGCTGTACACTCACTACTTTACATTGTAGCAAAGTGTCATTTCTTCAGTGTTGTCACATGAAAAGATATAATAAAATATTTACAAAAATATGAGGGGTGTACTCACTTCTGTGAGATACTGTATGTTTGTTTCATTTCCCCTGGCTTGCCCTTTTTTTTGTTTTTTAAAGTGTGTGTTCAGTCATTTCAATCATGGTTTCATCTTATAGTATATATAGGAGCGATTCTTGAAGGAGCTATTTTTTCTCAGTGGCATTAGTAATAATCAGTTACATTTTGCAGAAAGACAGAAATGTAATATTTTGATTCCAAGTTACCAGTAAACGGCGCGGCGCAATGTCTCCATACAATCGAAATTAGAGCGCGTCTACTGTAATGTTTGAAACTATAGCAAAGGAGACAGGTGTGGATACAGGAAATCATTTATAGAAAAAAACAAATAGCCTCAAGACAAGTATAAAAAAAGTTAACAAAAACAACAAAATTTCAAACAGATGCCTATTTTCTTGTGCTATTTTCAATTGTAGGGCCGTTTTAAGCTTTCTCCACAAAGCACAAAAATACCGTCTAATTTTCATGACTTCTTAGGTGCATCTATCGGGTGTAATGTCAAAAGAAATGTATTACATTGATCACAGTTAATGGGCCTTTCTCCAGAGTGAATATGCTGGGGATTTTTAAAATGGCTTCTTTTGCTAAACCTCGTCACGGTCACTCTTTATTTGCAGAATGATCTTGAAAGGCCTCTCTCCAGTGTTAACTCCTATGTGTCTTCAGGTTTCCTTTGACTGTGAAACTCTTTGCACAATGATGGCATATGAAATAGTTCTCCCCTGAGTGAAATCTCATGTGGGTTTCTTCACATGATTCCACACATATTTCATGTGAATCTTAAGATTTTCTATTTGTGAGAAGCTCTTCCCACAGGCTTCTCTCGAGTGTGTTGTTTTTTAATGTGAGCATTGAGGCTACATTTATTCCTGATACTCTTTCCACACTGAGCACATTTACAGCATTTCTCTGCCGAATGAGTCTTCATGTGGTAATTAAGTCTTACCTTACATATGAAACGCCTTCCACACTGATCACATTTGAAGGGTTTCTTTCCAGTGTGAATCATCTTGTGACACTTGAGGCTAAATTCTGTTGCGAGGCTCTTTCCGCAAAGATCATGTGAACACATTCTGTCCAGTGTGAATTCTCATGTGGTAGTTACGGGAGTATGCATTTGCGAAACTCTTTAGAAGTAAGGCTTCTCTCCAGTGTGAACTCTCATGTGGTCTTTAAGGTTTTGTTTTGCAGGGAAACTCTTTCCAAACTGTTCGCATGTATAAGGTTTTGCTCCAGTGTGAATGGTCATGTGAGATTGAAGGCTGCCTTTCTGTGTAAAACTCTTTCCACACTGATGGCAAGTGTAAGTGTTCTCTCCCGAGTGAGTTCTCATGTGTATTTGAAGGTGTGGTTTTTGAGCGAAACTCTTTCCACACTGTTGGCAGGTGAA